CCAGATGAAACCTTATAAGCCTATCGGTAGTCTACCGATATCTCTATGGCAAATGTTGTGACGAGTAGAAATAATAATTTTTTGCATGAAGCAAGTTATCAGAACTCGGACAAGTGGCTGGCTGGCCATAGGCTTTCTAGGGAAATGCACAATCTTACATAACGTAAACTAATGTTCAAATCATATCTAGTAACAAGACAGCTGACCAATTCCCGTATATGGTTGTATAGGTCACCCTTTATCTATCCGAGAAACGAGAATAAAAAATTGTTGTAATAGCCACAGAAAGCCCACTAGAATATTACCCCAAATTCAAAAGTGAGAGAACCAGCAAGAAGACAAATATGATGTTTTTTCATAGTTATAAAATAATGGTTCTAACTACAGACAGTTGTGTCATTCGAAGAAACATTAAAATTGGGCAAATCGAGATATGTGTTTAACACACCGACTTTAGCAACGCCTAAAATAAACTCCGTTATTCAAAATACCTGTTAGCAATTGCAACTACTTGTTGATACTCCTTCGCCATCTCGAAAATTCGGCAAATTTGTTCCTCACGAGGTTGACGCGGCCTGCGATGTTTCAACTTTCTTGGTGGAACAGTATCATGTTCAGGACAAATGACCCTTCTACAGTTTTCTGAATGGAAGAAAGAGCCTGTCACCTGCAAGTGCTATACAGCTTTATTTTTTTTTTTATATCAGGTCATCCCATAAGTTCTGTCCGAATTTTGAAGAAAGAAAACAAGTGACCAAATGTTACATTTAATTACAGATTCAATCAACAATGTATTTTCCCTGATTATCTATGACTTCCTTCCATCTATTAACAAGCTTACTAATTTCATTACTGTAAAATTCTTTTGGCTTTCATTCGAAGAACTCACAAATGTCAGTTCTAACCTCTTCCTGTGTTACAAAAGCTGTTTCTTCAAAATGATTCTGTAAACTACGAAATAAATGATAGTCTGAAGGAGCAAGGTCGGGAAAATAAGGTGGATGAGTAATTTTCTCCCAACCAAGTTCTTCGATCTTTGTGACGTGATTCTTGCTGTGTGGGGTCGCGCATTGTCCTGATAAAACATCACCCTTTTTCGATTCACTAGAGCAGGGTTTTTTTCCCTCAAAGCTTGGTTCAAACGCTTTAATTGATGACAGTATATTTGAGCATTAATTGTTGCAGTAGGTGGTAAGAATTCAAAGTGGATTATTCCTTGGCGATCCCACCAGATTGAAAGAAGAAGCTTTTGCCCATGAAGTTCCCTTCTCGGCTGTGGCTGGGGTCATTCCCCTTTACCAAGCCACTGTCTACGACGCTTAACATTTCGATAAAAGATCAATTTTTCGTCGCCAGTCACAAGTCTATCCAAAAAAGGTGAAACAAGTTGTTGAGAATGGAGAGAAGACCAGATGTCAACTCGGGATTTGAGGTTGTTTTCAGACAATTCATGAAGCACCCATTTTCCAAGTTTAGGAACTTTTCCAAGTTGTTGAAGATGACGATGAACAGTTGTATGGTTTGAACTGAGAACCACTGCCAATTCCTCAACTAATAAAGCAGGATTTTCTTCAAGTGCTGCTTCAAGAACCTTTTCATCAAACTCAACTGGACCTCCGGTTTGATCTTCATCTTCAAGGGTGAAATCTCCACCTCTGAATTTTGCAAACGATCTTCTGCAAGTTCTTTCATTCACACATTCCCCTCCATAAACTGAGTGAATGTTTCTAGCCGCTTCGGCTGAGTTTCCTTTCTTGAACTCATAAAGCATTATGTGCCTCAAATGATTCTTGGCTACTTCCATGTTAGCAGGGTTTTAATCAAACAAAATTTAATTTTATTGTTCTCTGAAATACAATTTGATCAGTTTAAATGCATCTAAACATAAAAATAATGTTCAGCTCCATTAGATATTATAAAATGCTCTTTAAATTTCATTCATTTTAACAAAAAGTTAAAATTCGGACAGAACTTATGGGATGACCTGAGATATATCTGTTTTCCCTCGAGGAATTACACCATTTTCGCTTAATGACACGTAGACTGCAGCACTTTTGAGAGACAAATTCCGTAGAAAGCAAAACTGTATTGTGCCTCTGAAAGAAGGCAGTATTAACCAGATCAGCCTTGATTAGACCCTCCATTACATTGGCAAGTAGACCACTAATAGGATGATACTTCTAGGGATTCTACAAAAGCGGACTTCTCACAAGCTGAAAAGCAAGAAGCAGCAAGGCATTTTTGTAGGTTTTAATGAGAATAGGAAACATTTCGAGAGCACACTTCCTTATGACAATTGCAGGGTTAGCGTCAAGTTCGCGTGTCTTAAGAGGATATAGATTTGAGAAGAACGCAGAAACCATGGGCGGGGTTAAATGCATATCACTCAGTAGAGATTCTTTTCTCGGCGATAAATCAGGCAAAGTGGAGCGTCGGGAGACGAGTTGGAAGCGAATTTCCAGTCAAAACATTTTACTTCATCAGCAGTAGATGGCAATAGTTTAAACTGATTAAAGAGAAGAAAGATTGAAAATTTACTCTTTCTTTTTTTGCACACTCTTACAGAGCCGCCAGTAATCTCGAGGATCAAACTAGCGAGAGGCTAAATGGTATATCATTCTATCAGCGAACAGCGATTTAGCCTCGCCGATAACACGCTTACACTCACTATGAGCAGATACAAAGAAACGTTTTGATCCGAACATTTACGTCGTTATACAGTGGCCTAAGAAAATCTTTTAGCTAGGAGAAATAAACTAAATACAATTTCAAAATTTAATTACGTAATCTCTATTCAACATAAACAGTATTTGGAACTAGTATAGAGTAGGTCCTTCATTTGCTAGTTTCAGTGCTTTTATTCGATTTTTCATGGATTTGATAAAGTTATCAACAATCGTCTGAGCCATATTTTGACACTACTTTAACAATGTTTCTTTAAGGGTTGCCACTGACGTGATTTTGGTTGCACACTCTTGAAGTCCCAGACATGCTCTATTGGATTCGTGTCAGGATTTTGGGCTACCCGTGGCAGTGACTTGATTTCTTCGCGATTCCTTACAGGCATTTGCTACGTTGATCGTATGACATGGCGCTCTTCTTGAAAAAGGTAGACATTCTTGTCAATTTGACTGGTTTCAAGTAGTGGGAGGAGTCCTTTCTCTAATATTTGACAGTATTTTGGACCATTCAACCTCTCCTCAACAAGAATCAGCTCAGATTTCCCTCGAAACCAGACAGCGCCCCACACCATTACTCCAATCCATCCGTGTTTCACGGTCGCCTGCAGACATTCAGTGTTCCAAGTCTCATTCTGATTTCTCCAAACATAAACCAATCTCGAATTAAAATATTGGCAGAATATTGATCTGACCAAATTACATGGCCCTGTCCATACCAAGGTTCCTGTTAACCACTGAAATCAAGGGCTTCTTTCTTGCAAATCTTCTTTGATAGTCTAGCTCTTTCACTGTCTTTCTCACCGCATATGGCGACATTTCTATGCTGTTGGCGACATCTTTGACGCTCTGACGACGCCCTTTTCGTTCGCTCAGACACGATGCTTGGTCTTTCTAGACGTTTTTCCACACGACAATGGCCTTCTTCATTAAATTATTGCCAATATTATTAACAGATGGTTGATTAACCTGCAAAAATCTAGCAATTTCTCTATTTGACTTGCCACACTGATGTCATCCTATTGTTTGCTCTTGTTGAAATTCACTAATTTCCTTACTTCCACGAATATTCATTGCAAGATATAAGTCAACTATGGTTCATAGATGAGAGTAGTTTGATACTAACACAGTATTGTCTGAAAAAAAAAGAAGAGACGTTATTAAACAAGCTAAAATTGTTGTAATCAAAGGTGTCTACAAATTTATCATAGCCCACAGTATACAGAAGAAGTAATTCCTGTGGGCTATAGCGGCTGAAAAGGCTGGAAAGAACCAAGGAGATGATTACAGTTTCACCTGGTTTTTCTGTGCTGGCAGGAAAGCTTCAATGCCGGCTTTCATCCAAGAAGAAACCTCGCAGGCATAATTTTCAACCGGAAGAAGAATGATTCCAATGCAATGAACGTCGAGAAGAAAATCAGTAAATGTAACTCAATTTTCATATCTTATACTGTTAAGATTGCTTCCACGAGTGATAAATTCTGGTAGTATTAGGCATTCAAAATGCTAGCATTCATGTAGACTTGAACCTCATCCTCTGGGATTGGTGAGAAGGGCAGAGGTATTTCGGCCAGGAAAGCAATCCTTGGAACTTTCCTATTTATCAAATAATCTCTATTTTCGCATTCATGATAAAAGAACCTGTCCCCGATGTACACCGATGAATTACACTTGGTTTTATTATATAGAAGGTAAATCTAAGGTCTTTATTATTCAATCACCAGTGAAGAAAAAGATACGGCCTTTTTTTGCCTTCGGTGAAGCGAGGCAGTAAAAGGACAAGATAATGTATCGTTTAATATCGGAAACACGTATATAATTCCTCCTCCACAACACGCACCTTCCCGAGTTATCCACACTCTTTATTCTAACCACCAAACTACCATTTCGTTGCTATGGAGACGGGCGTCATGTTGGTTTCATCAATCTTCAGCGACTTCTTCGAGCCAGCCGTCGCAAAAACACGGTCGACAGAGGCCGCTCCTTTTGATAACTTGTTAATACAATCAGGTTATTATTCCTTCCTCTTGCTTGAGCGTACTCATACGTTCGAATGAATCCGCGCAGATATGTAGTGCAAGACAAAATGCGTACCGAGCGCAGGAATATCGAAAGATATCTCTTCGTTCTGTGTAACAAGAAGCATTCAAGTGGCGGAGCGGGTTGGGGGTGCGGGTGAAATAGGTCCTTGCATATTCCTGTCGTTTGCTTGCCCTTTGGGCAACGTGAACGAATATCGAGGTTCTGGATATTGCACTGAAAAATCAAGGTCACTGTTGCTTTCTTCATTTTTTGGGAACTTTCATTTATTGTATCCTTTAGTTTTCTTTTCTTTCTATTCTTTGCTTAACGTTTTACATTTCTATGTTTCACGTTTATTCTATGTAAGATTCTTTCCCCGCCTGTTTATCTTCCTATTTGCTCCTATTTAAGATTCTCTGAACTAACTTTCTTTTTGCTTTCTTTTTCTATTTTCTTTCTTTTTATTCTTTGTTTTTTTCTTTCATTTTTTCATTTTTCATTCTTTCTGTATTTCTTCCTTCCTTTCTTTTGTCTTCTTTTCTTTCTTTCTTACGTTACTTTCTTTTTTTCTTTCTTTCTTCTTTCTTTCATTCATTTCCTTCTTTCTTTCTTTTGTCTTCTTTCTTTCGTTTTTTCTTTCTTTTTTGTCTTCTTTCTTTCTTTTGTCTTCTTTCATTTCTTTTTTTCTTTTGTTTTCTTTCTTTCTTTTGTTAGTTCGTCCTTTCTTTCTTTAGTTCTTTCTTTCTTTTATATATTTATTCTAAGATATAAGCAACTTTTTCTTTCGCACATTTTGATAAGTGTATCGCTTCCTTCCTTTCTTTCTTTTCTTTTTCTTTCATTCTTCTTTCTTTCTTTTGTCTTTTTTTCTTTTTGTCTTTTTTCGTTCTTTTATCTTTTTTCTTTTCTTTCTTTTGTCTTCTTTCTTTCTTTTTATTTCTTTCTTTTCTTCTTTTTTTTCTCTTTCTTTCTTTTGTTTCTTTCTTTCATTTTCTTTCTTTTTTTATATTTATTCTTTCTAAGATTCTTTCCGTCTTTCCTTTTTTTTTTTTTTTTTTTCTTTCTTCTTCTTTCTTTCTTTTCTCTCTTTCTTTTCTTTCTTTCTTTCTTTCCTTCTTTCGTTCTTCAGTCCATCTTCTTCCTTTCTTTCGTTTTTATATTTATTCTATTCTAAGATATAAGCATCTTTTTCTTTCTCCCATTTTCATATGTGTATCTCTGAGTTTTATTACTGTGCTAGTTTTTTTTTTTATTTTATAAACTGTTCTTTGTTTAACGGTTTGCGTTTTTTTTATTACGAATTCTATTTAAGATTTAGTATTCAATCATTCGGTTTTTCTTTCTCGTCTGCTGGTTTTCTTTTGGCATTTCTTTCTCTTTTTGTTTGTTTTTCGTTATTGGGCTGTATTTCTGTTTTTCATTGATTTACACTGCTTTTGTTTTTACTTGTTTTTTTTTTTGTTTCTGTTATTTTCTTTTTCATCGGTTTTTCATTCTATTTTCGTCTTTCTTTCATTTTATCCTTTATTTCTTCAACTTCTTGCACCTTTCGTTTAGTTGTTGTTGTTGCTTTTTTTTTTTTTTCTGGACATTTTATTATTTCTTATCTTTGCTGATTTATCCTTTTTATTTCTTTATTGTTTTTTTTTCTATTTATTTATTTTTTAAAATTTCTCGACACTTTCCTTTCATGATTCTTTCTGTTTTTACATTGTTTCTAATTCAGATTATCCGGTCTTTTTTGTTGTTTTGTTTTGTTTTCTTTCTGTGCATCATATATTTCACATTCTCTAGACTTTTTTCTTCATTTGCATTTATTCCTTTATGGATTAAGATTATTTGACTTTCTTTCTATTTTTTTCTTCTATGAGTGCTCCATCTAAAAATCTCTGGTCTGCTTTCTTTCTTCCCTTCTTTCTTCTATTTAAGATTCTCTTCGTTTTTACTTTCTTTTTAACTTTCTTTTTCACGTTTTTAAAGTTTTCTTTCTTTTCAAATTTCTGTCTTTAATTTCTTTTGTTACTTATTTCTTGTATTTATTTTTCTTTATTTCATTTTTTTTTCTTTTGTATTCCTTCTTTGACCTTTCTTTTTTCTTCTTCCATTTTTCTTTCTTTCTTTTTCTTTCTTTCTTCCATTCTTTTTCTTCCTATCTGTTCGTTTAAAGTTATTTTACCTTTCTTTTTTGCTCCTGTATGTGTTCTATTTAAGAATATTCTTTCTTTTTCTTTCTTTTTTCTTTTTCTTTCTTTCATTTTTAAAGTCCTTTCCTTTTTTGATTTTTTTAAAAACTGTTTCCTTATATTTAACTCTCATTCTTTTTTCACTCATTTAACCTTTCGAATTCAAACACATAAAAATCCCATCTCACTTCTATTATTGCATTTATTTCAATTATTAATTGTAGAAGCAATAGGTGTGGTGAAGTGGTTACTAGCATAGGATAGAGTATCGGCGAATGACACTGCCTGTGTACATTTTACAGGCATGTTATTATTAAGAACCCAATTTTCCCGCGGTATAGAACAATATTCACCTAATGGATATAAATAATATAAACTCTCACGTCTAATTTTTTAAAATTCTTCATTCTATCAAACGAAACCAAACAATCAAATTTTTCTTTCACTTAGCATTGAAAGCCTATTTGCTTATATTTTTCTTGCTGTTATACAAAACACTTATAAACTTCTTTGTTTATTTTGTTTTACGGCATACCAACCCAAATGTCTTATTTATTGCCGACAAGGTTTTTATTGCTGGTAATATATTTTTCCAAAAATGTATTGCTGGTAAGATTTTTTTTCTATATATTTATATAGCTGGTAATATTTTTTTCTTCAAAAATGTGCTACTGGTAATCTTTCTTTCCAAAAATATATTGACGGTAATAATTTTTTTCTTAAAAATTTCAATGGTGTTAATATTCTTTTTTTTTTTCAAAATTATATTGCTGCTAATTTTTTTTTCCTTAAAATATATATTACCCCCAAAATATGTTGCTTGTATTAAAAACCTGTTTTTACACTTTCATAGTGTTTTGACCCCATTTAGGAGGTAAACTATTTGCCCATATCTGGGACCCTAACAGGTGCTACCACCCCAGGTCAGTATGGACCTGGGAACACCAGCAATTAAGATGTGGTTCCACAATCCTCAAAACCTCCTGATGAGTGACCTTGCTGTTTGATGTAGTTTATCGTCTTACCAAGGACGCGGTTGTAGTTTATCGTTTTACCCAGGACGAGGATGTAATTTATCGTCTTACCCAGGACGCGGAGGTAGTTTATCGCCTTTCCCAGGACGCGGATGTAGTTTATCGTCATAGCCAGGACGCGGATGTAGTTTATCGTCATAACCAGGACGCGGATGTAGTTTATCGTCATAGCCAGGACGAACACTTATAAGCATTCCCTGTAGTCTTCTTTATGAAACCAAACACAGTCTTCTGCAACATCTCCTGCAAACGGGCCTTACAAATCTCTTTTTATGACAATCTTGAAAATGAATATACAATCTGACGGTTTAGCAATGTAATCTCCTTTATGACATAAAATTTTCAGCACAATAGCTACATCTCCTGTCTATGTTACGTGCATCGATGATATATTGCTGCTTGCAAAAGTTCTTGATCAGATAAGTAAAGAGAAAAGAAAAAAAAATACTTTGCAAGTATTTCCGTAATTAGTTTTATATACGAAGCCATTATCAATCAACATCCTTTTTCTCGGTGTCCTTATTGATTTATATAATGAGAATTTTATTATTTCAACATACAAAAGAACCTTATAGTGTCAACTCCTGTCTCTTTAATAATCAAAGTGAATGCTTTTACTCTTACAAGATAGCCGGTAAATCGCGCTAAATTAATCACTATTTTTATAAAACATTCTTCCATATAGAATTATCTACTATTAAAGAAACTTTGTAATAATGGCCTTCCTAATTACATGGTTGATAAACAGATTAATTATCCGTGTCAACGGATAGTTGGTTCTACAGAAGGATGCTGAGAATATCATGGACTGAAGTGAGTAACGAGGAACTTTTAAAGAACATGGAAACTAAAAGGATTATTCTTAGAATTAGTTGGAATTTCTAGGACACATAATGAGCAAGGAGGTTTGGATAATTTGACACTCACAAGGCGTATTGAATGTTTGATTGATTTAATTGCTTTCTATGATTTATCAAACATTTGCAAGTTATTTAAAGAAAGAAAATATTTTTAGATTCGATGATTTTTGTTAGAGATAATAATGATTTAGTAATGCAAGTCTTACTAATTAACCCATAGTTGGGGAGACAAGAGTTGATTCATAGTTTTCACAGGAATATTTGCGCGTAAGTTTATATAACGAGCACAACTGAAATTAAACACTGCTCCCCGATTAAAAATTCGAAGCCATTATACCACCCGCTTACAGCATTTAGTATTCCCAAACGGTCACCCATCGAGGTACTGAACAGGCTCGACGTTGCTTAACTTCGGTGTTCGTATGAGAATCGATGTTTAAACGTGATCTAGCCGTAAGCATGAGTGAGGCGGTGATGCCCAACATGAATATTGTCATATTTCTTGTCCATACATTAACCCCATTACCAATTACAACGCTCACACATCCATGCTTACAGCATCTGGTATTCCCTAGCGATCACCGATCTAGCTACTGACGAGGTTCGACGTTACTTACCTTTAATGATCGTACGAGGACTGTCCTTCGACGCTATCTGGCCGTAAGCCTACATATTGAAGGCAAGGGACATAGGGTAATAGCAAGTAACGTAACTGACGAGTTTGCGGAAAATGGATATTCGAACTTGGAATGGGATGGATAATGAAAGAACAAATACAAAACTTACTAAAAGCCGCAAAGGATAGGATGATGTGGACAGCCATGATTGACCGCGTTCTGTTTGGAAACGGCAAATAGATGACGATTGTTTAAATCAAGATATTTATGCACCAACAAAATTGCGATTAACACATCTTATTTTAAACTAGCAGTAGAGCCCGGCGTTGCCCAGGGATGTAACAGTAAGAGATAGATCAAGTATCGACCATCATAAAGACTGAAAAATAAAATTGACAAAGGTTATTGTTTACGGTTGACGGACACGCATGTCTTAATTAATTATTTTTGTTTTTTTTTATGAATTGGTCAAACCAAAACAAAAACATTGTTTTCAATCGTTATGAGTCTATCGATTGAATAGAATTTTATTATAAACAATTGTCTTGTAAATGGAATTTTTAAAGCATTCTTAATGTAAAAATAAAGAAAAAAGTGTGCAAGACAATAAGAAACACTACCTGCCAAAAAAAAGTGAGGTTTTGTTGAAATCGGTTGAAAAATGTAGGAAATCCGATCAAATATATAAACGAACACACACACACACACACACACACACACACACACACACACACACACACACACACACACACAAAAACCTGGGTTTTATAATAAGTATAACTCGATATGAGTTGTCCCCCTTTCATTCTGGCGACAGAATCGTGTTTTATCATGTTTTCAAATTGATTTCATGCAAAAACAATTGATTTTCCCATTTTTGGCACCGTCAGAACCACCACAAGGTAATTTTATGCAGTCCTATGAAGGAAATCTGATCCAATATATAAACGTACAGACACACACACACATAATCTGCATTTTATAATAAGTAAGATAAATACACACCAATTAAAGAAAAATGAAAAACTATTGAAGTCTCTCTCTCTCTCCCTCTCTCTCTCTCTCTCTCTATGTATATATATATATATATATATATATATATATATATATATATATATATATGATGGACTCTCCCCTCGTTTTCGACGTATGAGTGTCTTACAGTTCAGTTTTTATGTTTCTGTTTCGTATGAGACATCAATCCTGCACGGGATTTGCAAACAAGTTCCCATCGGGGACAAGGTGAATGGTTGACCCTCATATGGGCTGATATATTGGCCCAAGATTTAGTGCTGGTGCTTAATTATCTCAAATGTTTGAGACGTTGCTTTTCAGAGTTATACCTTGATGGCAGGTGTTTCTCCAGTTTGTTCAGTTTTCAACAGAAAGTTCGAACTCCTCTATAGGGATGCTTGCAGCATTTAAATTGTATTTACATTTGTCATTGAAGCTTAATCAAGGACGGCCTACATTACGCTATGAAAAAGTTGGCTATGTGGATTTTCGGCATGCAATCATCACTCATTCTGATGAAAAGACTACCTGAACTGTGATTGCATCATAAAGGATTATATATATATATACATTTGATCAAACATCATGGTCATATATATATATATATATATATATATATATATATATATATATATATATATATATATATATATATATATATATATATATATATATATATATATATATATATATATAGAGAGAGAGAAAAGAAGAAAGAGAAAGAACAGTAAGATATATAATCCGGTGTTCTTATAGGTATTCTTATTTTTACAAAATAGTGCTCGATGTAATATATATATATATATATATATATATATATATATATATATATATATATATAGTGTATTGGGGCAGCAGATCAGTATTTAAATATATATTATTAAATATAACAAATAATGAATGTCTATTATGTCTGATCATGGTCCGTTCTAATGTTCGAATATTTGCTTTAATTTCTGGTGAAAATAAAGACAAAAATTGTCCAACATTTGGATATTTTTTATTAAGTTTGTCCTAAGCTTTCGGCTCATATGAACCATCCTCAGAGTGGTTATACAGGCATGAAACAAAAATATCCCCCGTCAAAGATGGTATTTTGTTATTTTGACATAGAAAATTGCTATGCGACGATAACGGTCGCGGAATAACAGACGCAGATCATAATTTCAAGGTGCGATTCTATGATGTCAGGCCACGCGATAGACCGAAGTTTTACAACAGACCCAATATCTAGATACTATGGAATGTGTTGTGACTTGTTTGAAATGTAATTTTGTTGAGTGTGGGTTGATCATTTCAATGTAGATAGCCTCCAATATCTGAAGGTTCTTTTTACTGTGTTTATGTGTGTGTATTATTGTGTTATCAACTAATACCTGTCTAATATTATGTACATGGCTATGTTTTTCTAAGAAATATTGTTTAATAAAACTATTATCAGAAAGGTGACAGAGAGCATTGTTGCAATAAAACCAATATATGTAGGGGGTTTATTATTAGCATCAAAGATAAAATCTCTAAACCGGCATGTAAATTGATACGCTACATTGCTTGTGTGGTTGTAGGGTTATTACATAATATGAGGTCAATTGTTTTAATTTTTTTTAATTTATTTATTTTTGTTTATATATATTTTATTTGATAATTTATTTATTTATGTTTTTATATATTTTTTATAAATTATTTATTTATGTTTTTATAAATTTTTTTTATAATTTATTCATTTATGTTTTTATATATATTTTTTTATAATTTATTTATTTATGTTTTTATATATATATATGATCTGTAGACAATAATACATTTTCTAAAAACGTAACAGTTTTCCGTTAATCCGACAGATTTTGATCACGTTAAACGTTATTTTTAGTGGATACTCGTATTTGAATATACGCTATATTTGTTTATTAAAGAGTATATTTATTTTTGTCTGCCAGCCTAAATATTTGAGAAATCTTATTAAAGACAAAATGATAGTCCCCGGCAGGATTCGAACCTACGTCCTTCCTCTCCGGGCAGAGGAATCTGCTGTTAGATCTGGCATACTCTTACCGACTGTGCTAAAGGAGCAGGCATAACAGAAAGAGTGCCTTTAAACGCAACTTCTCTCGTCATAGAACATAGAAATTTTTTCATATCTGCTTAGTTTAGCAGTTTTCTAAAGAAGTAATCATTGTTTTTTAATAATCCAACAGTTTATTGTCATTTTAAACGTTTTTTAGTAGATGGTCATACTTCAGTAGACGCTGCGTACATATACTAAAATATTGTGTTAGCCCCAAATGCAGATTCTGTGATAAATATCCAGAAACGATTGACCATCTTGTATCAGGTTGCACGATATTGGCACCCACTGAATATAAAACCCAATATGACAGAGTGGGCCAATATTTGCACTGAAAAATTTGCAACTTCTACGGGAAGGAAACTGAAAGAAAATGCTATGAACACCACCCAGACCCGGTTACGGAGATAGGACCTGTTACAATTCTATGGGACTACACAATACACACTGACAAAACAATCAAAGCCAACCGCCCAGACATTGTTATTAAAGACCACATACAAAAAAGTGCCTCCTTATTGATATGGCAGTCCCTGCTGTCTGCAATGTATCTTTGAAGATCTTCAAAAAGCTGTCAAAATACAAGGACCTTGAAATAGAAATCTAGAAAAAAATGTGACACATCGGAACTTCAACAATCCTTGTTGTAGTTGGAGCCCTAGGATTGGTTGGAAATGATTTCAGTAGACTAATTGAAGGGATTCCTGGAAGTCCATGCCTCAAGGAGATACAAAAAATTGTTCTGACAAGTACAGCCCACACTTTACGAAAAGCTTTATGTAATTTTTTTTTTTTTTTTGTCAGTGGAAAGTGTCATGATGTCATTTCTAACCTTAGGTCCCTGGGCGGGACCTGGAAAGAAATGTGTAAACGCCAGAAATCAAAGATAATAATAATAATAATAATAATAATAATAATAATAATAATAACAAGAAGAACAAGAAGAAGAAGAAGAAGAAGAAGAAGAAGAAAATAATATCGTGATCTCATTTTTTTGCTTTTTGCAAAAATGATCAAAGGAAAATGTTATGAAGCCATATCTGACCTTAGGTCTCTGGTAGGGATCGAGAAGGAAATATGTATACAACAGAAATCAAAGGAAATAATAATAATAATAATAATGCTAATAATAATAATAATAATAATAATAATATTTGTTTATATCAAATCCTTTCTGATGTGAAGTTTTACCTTTCACAAAGAGTGTAACGACAGCATATAACACAAATCCACATCGACCCAGAAAATTCCTGACAGACTTTTGGCTGACAATACAATAACTGTCTTCCAAATTTACTGAAAAACGATATTAAAAATAAAATAATAATAAAAACATTAAAAGAAAGCGACCTACTATGTATAATTTTTTTTTCAATGCTGGAGATGACGTGTTAAAATCTCTTTGAATTGTGAAGTCACATTTAACACAACGAATCCTATATTCTAGTTATCCCACGTCCACTTTAAAGTTTAAACTAATAATAAAGCGATCTCGATAATACCTATTTCTGGACATTCAATCTTCTTTCATTCAAAACCATCAACAATGGACGAAATACACGTATGTTAAAGTTAATTTCGGAAGTAAGTTCTTCTTCAAGATTGCACTTGAAATAAGTGACTAATTCGAAACCAACAGAAACACACCAAAAGAAGAATTTAAAGTTCTTTGTCAATTCTATTTAATAGAATATGGGTTAGGTTTTTTGATTTTATGATATATCAGGTCTTGTGGATAATTTAATGCCGCCATCTTTCTT